AACAGTACACAAATGACTGGTTTGGAAAAATTTCCATACTCGGACGTCACTTTTTTCAATTAATTTTCTATCGCCAAAAGTTACATCTTTTATGGTTATTCCTCCACTTTCCCTCCTCTACTCTCACCCTCTCCTTTCCTTAATTTCAATTTATTAATCAGTCACTTCCCAGCAGGCATTTTTGGTCGGTTTAACGTCCAAGCGACGTTTGATTCTGACCAATACTGACGTTGGATTTTGGTCCTTTTATAATTGATTATGAAAGTCAGTTAGACGTCGAAATCTGACCAAATAATAACGTCTGTTTATGGTCGAGTTGTGACGTCAATCCTACTGGTTTTATTGACGTTAAACTGACGTCAGATTTCATGGTCAGATTTTGGTCATTTGATGATTGATTTTGTAAGTTATTTAGACGTTGAAATCTGACCAAATAATAACGTCTGTTTATGGTCGAGTTGTGACGTCAATCCTACTGATTTGATTGACGTTAAACTGACGTCAGATTTCATGGTCAGATTTTGGTCATCTAATGATTGATTTTGTAAGTTATTTAGACGTTGAAATCTGACCAAATAATAACGTCTGTTTATGGTCGGGTTGTGACGTCAATCCTACTGGTTTGATTGACGTTAATCTGACGTCTGATTTCATGGTCAGATTTTGGTCATTTTATAATTGATTTTGAAAGTTTTTTAGACGTTGAAAACATGACCAAAATCTAACATCCGTATATGGTCAAATCATGACGTCAGTCTGACCATGATTAACTGGTTAAATGGACGTCGACAGGACGTCAGATTCTTTGTTGAATTTAGGTCAGTTAATGGTTGAAAGTGTAATTTATTTAGACGTCTAAAACACAGACATGAGATCTAATCTCTTTTTTGAATATGTGTGGAGGTAGAAGACATCAGGCCGTCGATCTTGATGTTTTCTCTGATGATTGTTGACACGTATGGTAGGGCTTGGGTAGTATGTTTCTTCTCCATCAATTGCAAAGAGCAGAGATGAGCTGGAAAATTAAAAGGAGATGTTCCAAATGAAATTGTGAATTTTCTTGAATACCAACACATTCAAAAATATTTTTTTGTGACTCGTAAATAATTAAAACAAAATAGATTCTTTATGTAAGCCAATTTAAGTGCAGCGGAATATAAAAATTTTAAAAACTGCAAGCATCACAAGGTCCTCATTTGAGTTAGTGCGGTAGTGAGATTTGGAATATTTAAGTTATCGATCAACATAGTGTAGGAAATATGTCTCATGTTGAGATGTGCGTTAAATGACAGCAGTTTTAGGCTTAAATGCAGCTTGGACATGATGATGGAAGGCGGGCAGAACATGCATGACTGCTGATTAGCTTAGATTGTCTAGATTTCAATGTTTAAATAAAGGGCACCGTAAGTGTAACTTTGAATTTGAAATAAGAATTGACAATAGCGTCAAACATTAACAACTTTCAACAATGAGAAGTTGAAGTATTTTTCCATTGAATTTTTATGTTATACATGTACAAGTAAGTAGGCCTACAGAAGGGAACCCATTGTACATATCACTGTCAGGATAACATTTCAAGACTACTCGATCCCGTCCTTAAAAGAAATTTCAAATCCCTAACTCGGAAACAATCGCATTAGAAACTTACCGTTTTTCAGACCGGTACATTGCAAAAGCCGACCATATTGTACGCCTGCGTACTAATCTTGATAATTGCAGTTCAATCGAATCTTGTGCTTGTCCCATACATCCTGATGTCGTATCTTGACTTGAAGTTAAGATTAGCAGGAACATGATCTTGTCATCAAGTGGCATACACTGTAGGACAATGACTGTTGCAATGTGCCCACAAAACTTCGACATTTGACCCACCACGTCTTTTCCCGAACTGAGCTGTTTCGAAGTTGCTAGACTCGTGTAGCATTGGATGGAATGCAAGAGGTCACACACAGGGCGTAAATAATGCTCACGCACGTGCGGTGCGCGCGCGATGTTTTGGTCATTTAGCGCGCGGGGCAGGAATTTTGGCTCGGAGCCAAGACGTACGTTTGGATGTTGTATTTTGGTTTAAACCATGACATAATGACAACGTTAGATATTTTAACCATCCATCGACCAGAATTTAACGTCATTATTTGAATCGTCGAAAGGACGTTAGAAAACGGACGTAACTATGGTTGAAAACATGACCTTTAATAATGACTTCAAATATTATAACCAGCAACCGACCATAATCCAACGTCACTGTTCGAGTAGTTGAAAAAAAAATGTCAAAACCATGACATAATAACGACGTTAAATATTTTAACCATCCCCTGACCAGAACTCAACGTCGTTATTTGAGTCGTGGAAACGACGTCAGAAAACGGACGTAATATCATTGTTAAAACACAACCTAGTAACGACGTCAAATATTATAACCAGCAGCTGACCACAATAAAACCTCGCTTTTGGGGTCGTTGAAAAAAACGTCAAAAACGGACGTTATATTTTGGGGAAAACCATGACATAATAACGACGTTAAATGTTTTAACCACCCCCTGACCAGAATTCAGCGTCGTTACTTGAATCGTGGAAACGACGTTAGAAAACGGACGTAATATCTTAGATGCAAACATGGCCTCATAATAACGACTTCAAATATTATAACCAGCAGCTGACCACAATAAAACCTCGATTGGAGTCGTTGAAAAAACGTCAAAAACGGACGCTATATTTTTTGTGAAAACCATGACATAATAACGACGTTAAATATTTTAACCATCCCCTGACCAGAATTCAACGTCGTTATTTGAATCGTCGAAACGACGTTAGAAAACGGACGTAATATCATGGTTAAAAACATAACCTAATAACGACGTCAAATATTATAACCAGCAGCCGACTACAATTCAACTTCGCTTTTGGAGTCGTTGAAAAAACGTCAAAAACGGACGTTATATTTTGGTGAAAACCATGACATAATAACGACGTTAAATATTTTAACCATCCCCTGACCAGAACTCAACGTCGTTATTTGAATCGCGGAAACGACGTTAGAAAACGGGCGTAATATCTTAGATGCAAACATGACCTCATAACGACTTCAAATATTGTAACCAGCAGCCGACCATAATTCAACGTCAATTTTTTAGTAGTTGAAAAAACGTAAAAAACGGACGCTGCATTTTAGTTGAAAGCATGACATATGTACGACGTCAGATATTATAACCAACGGCCAACCTCAATTCAACGTCGTGTTTTGATTTGTTGAAACGACGTTAGAAAGCGAACGTCATATCTTAGTTGAAAACATGACATAATTGTGACGTCTTGAAGGGAACCATAATAATGACAATAATACAACGTTGTTTTTCAGGCCGTTGTAAAGACGTTGACAAAACAACGTCATATCATGGTTGAAACTATGTTACGTATTATTTGTGACCAAATTCCTACTACATTGTGACGTTGTTGTTATGTCAAATTCTGACGTTAAATTGCCGACACTAAAGCAACGTCTGGCAGACGTTATAATGACAACGTTTTCTTTGGTCTACCAAAACAACGTTGTTTTTCGGTTAGGAATGGTTGATCTGACGTTGCGACCATAGTACAACCGTTATACAACGTCAGTCTGACGTTTGGTGCCTGCTGGGTTACTTCATCGGGATTCGAACCTCTGACGCTTGCTTGATACACGAGACTCTTAACCGCTAGGCCGCGCACGATCGCTGTTGCAATCATCAATCTTTGGACGTATTTGAAGTATCCATTGAAATAAACTAAATATTCATGAGAAAATAAATATTCATAATGACGTATTGCACTATCATTGGCAGGCTCATGCGACGTCATGGTTGTTGATGTCACGTGTATAACGTTCCGCTGTCTTTTCAGCCACTACAATCAGTTTTGACCGGCTGCTTCAAGTTAGTTCTGCACGACGTATGCATCCAAAATGTGCTCTAAAAACACATTTTGAGTACATTTTTTTCACCTTTACACAGCTTCCTGGATTTCTTTTGGTTCAAATGACAAGGTGAGGTGACAATAAATATGTTTGGCAGCAGATAAATTGACATCCGAGTATGGAACTTTTCCCGAAAATGATGCTATCGTTAATTTCTGAAAAAGTGAAAGCACTTTTTCAGAAATTCTTCAAAGTTTGTTTGTCCTACCTCCCTGGTTTTACAGGGTTTTTGTTTACCTTCAATCAAAATAAAGCGCCACCGTAGTTCACTTTAGTCCAGGTTTTTGACGATTATAACAATCCCGTTTGTACCCCGAAAATGCTGACTTTTGTTCCCAGCAGCTCTCCATTACACGGTACACAATATGCAGCGTCAGCTTGAACCGCATAAATGACTGTATTTTCATCATTGTGTACTTCATATGGTTGTGCACAATGCGCGTGGCCATCGGAAACGACCAAACGGCCGATTTTCTAGCTCCACGAACTCCCATATATGGTCGTGCACAATGCGCGTGTCTATGGGAAACGCCAAAACGGCCGATTTTCTAGTTCGCTATTGCCAATACACGTGTGCACAATCGGCCGAGTACAAAAACAGCCATATACGGGGTTCACACGAGGTTTTCGCCACGGTCCAAAAAGCTGGTTTTCGTGTTCCTGTATGACTTTTGTACCTAGGCCGGGTACCTGTGGCTAATTTGATGCAGCCGAGGTTTGGAATCGGTCGCTCGTGCAATATTGGTATAAAGTAGGGAACTTTTAAAGTCTTACAAATTATAATTTGAGAGACTCCAAGGAATTTTTGTTATGATCATTAAGATGCCTTCTTTTTTTCAGATGAATCCAACAGGGGGAAAATCAGGTTTTGGCTATTAACCGTGTTTTTTGGGGTGGCCAGTGGTGTGTTAGAAAGGATTTTTTTTCGTCGACTAATATTTTTAAAATAGTGCAGAAGTTAGGTTTGACAACAAATTTTGCTGTCTGATTTTTATCTTTCTTTTATCTTACATCCTTGGGGTTTTTTTTGTTCCCTTTTTATATATAGTTGGAGATGAGAGTGCGGATGAGAGTGACTGGTCATCTGAGGAGGAAGGCTCCACATCCAAACGACCTCGCAACGATGGCGGCCACAGGAAAGCGCGTCGCAACCGGTCACGTAAAGGCCGCAAAGAGAAGGACGCCAAATCGGACGAGAAGCATAAATCTAACAAATCCTTGGATGACAAGCAGGAGACCATGGCAACGCCGGCTCCAAGTGCCCCAGTATCGCGGCTAGCGGAGGTCTTGTCCAGCAAGGAGGGGCTGAAGAGCGCTGCGCTAAAATCCACGGCCAGGGATCAAGCCAACGCTAACGAGACGGGTGCAAAAGTCTCAGACGAAGTGAAAAAGGGGAACAGTGACTCGACAACAATTATCAAGTAAGTTGTTTTGCTAATTTGGTTGATGAAATTGAGTTCAGTCAGTTCGGGATGATATTGTCAATTGAAACAGATGTCTGTCAATGTAGATAAGTGATATCTTTGTATCAGATTCAAGAAGTCTCACTTCAGACTATAACAGCTCTGAAAAATATCTCATGTCTGTTCCTGAACTTTAACGACTCTCCCTTAGTAACCATTGATGGGCCATCCAGATTTTCAAACTCGTATTTTCTTTTTCTTTTTTGTGCCAGGATTAAACCACCTCCGCCCACAGCCCCCAAGCCCAGGGCTAAACGGACAAGTAGCAGCCAGTCCAGTGAAGGTACCGAAGAGAAATCGAGGGAAGCTAAGACCAAACCAGCGAGCGAGACACCTAAGGTAGTGACAACCAGCTATGGTCCAGTGGAGGATAGCATCTTTGATGGGGTGAGCTTTTAACTGACGTTCAAAACACTTTGATTTAATCTTTCCTTCAATTGGCTATTTCAAGTCATGGTTCGATTGCAAATTTGCAATTTCATTCTTTCTTTTTTTCTTTCTCACTAGTTGGAGATCAAACCCAAGCTAACCTCTTACAAACGAACCATGGGGCCGCAGGGCCGACGCCTACCCCAGAGATATTCCAACCAAGTCCAGTCCCAGCGATTCTCCAACCAAAGCAACAATTCCCTAGCCGTGGTGTCCGCCTGAAACCCGGCACAACTCTTCAGGATTATTGTAAATAAGGATGTGTAATTATTGATTCTTCTTTTGATATAAAATACAATATGGTTTGCAATCAAAGAAGCGCAATATATCTAGGAATGTAAAATATCTGAAAGTTGTCTGTGGCACATACAAAAAAGGCAAAAGTGAAAAACACGAGGTAAAATGATATAAGAGCAGAGGTGAGTTGTGTTTGAAATGTTGACAGTTTTGCGTTAATTAATAGAGATAAATTAACCGGTCTTTCTCAGAAATAATATCGTTGTGCATTTAAGCTCAAATTGCTTTTTTGGCCTACTTTATTAAAGCACAGCAGCAAGTGTTTTGTCGATATTATATCAGCTTTTGCCATTTAACATTTTAAGCCCTGTATACTCAGCTTGCACCGCAAAATTCACAAAGTTTCTCGGGTGGAACTCGAACCCATAACGTCCTGTTTATTAAATGCGAGTCATAATTTAAGTATTTTTGTTAAGTGTTTATGGCATGTCGTGGCTTAGACAAATATTAGTTTTCCTTTTGCTGTGCAAAAAGTGTGTTTGTTTTAGCCGAGATGCCTACGAAGTCATTCAATTACTGCTTGATATTGTGATCTGCCAATCAGAATTATATCCATCTTGTCATTTTAAAGAAAACAATTCAAGAAGTTTAAAACATTGCGACAGTCAAGAATCGTCAAATGTAACTATGTGTAGCATTTGGATTCTTTTGTAGTTTTTAACATCAGCTTTTAACATCTGCGTTTTTATGTAAAACGTATTCAGTGTGTGTGAGCGAGATATGTGAAGAATTAGTTGGCGTATCAACTTTAAACTTGGTATGTGCGTTGGTCTTCGATTCAATCTTTCACCATTTATGAATGTGAATATCTAAAAAAAAAAATGTTAAAAATCAAACCAACGTTTGGTGGTGGAAAAGTTATAAAATTAACGGGTGGGTTTTACCTAAATGTCTTGGAATACTTACAACTGTCATCATAAAATGTTACTTCGTTGTAGTTCTGACGATACACTCAAAGAGAAACACACACAGGCCAGATGTGTAAGTTTACGTTATTTACAGACATTTTGCCTCATTTTAATGTTCAGAAAAGAACAGAAAATGTAACTCAATGTAGAAAAATGTTCAACAAAAATGTACACATTAATTAATGTTCCACCAAAGCCGTTTGGTGTGGTGAACTTCATGGTGCAATCTTGAAAACTTTTTTTTTTCAAGAATTGGTTATATCTCAAATTATGTAATAGTTACAATCTACTTCAGGTTAAAAAAAATTTTTTTTTTCATGATACCCATTGATTTTATTTTAATGCAGACATAATTCTATGGCCTTTAATATTTTTTAGAAGTTCAGTAAAATATTTGGAGCTAGTTGGAAAAGAAAGTGATGGGACAGATCTAATTTTTCCAATTCTTCCAAACCCCCATGCTACCATTTCATTTTGGCACAGTGTATCCAATTTTGTTCACCACAAGTGCTGTTAAACATTTATGTGAATAACTCAAACAAGTTTGAACCAAGTTTTGTATTGCTATTTTGAAAAAAAAATGTAAAATGTAAAAAATGCATGGTACAGGAATTTAGTTGGAAAAAAGTGCGTTTAGTCAAATGTATTTAGCCACAAGGCTAAAGTTCTGTGCTTTTCAAAAATTTAAAATAAAGTCTTTAACTCTTGAGAATAAAATACAGAACAGCTACAGCAGCGTTCAAAAGTTGTCACTTTAACTGCTTACGGTTTTCTTTTCAAGCATAAAATTCTTAAAAACAAAATAAGAAAAAACCTTGCAATGGCGATCAACCCATTGAACATAAACATAAAAATAAAGAAATCACCATTGCAGTTTTTACACCATGGAATTGTGTGTCTCCCAAATTCGAACAGTGAACTGAAGAAATGTTTACAAAAAAAATGAATTATTTACAAGACGCATTGTAAAATAAAAATGTAGAAACAAACGAGGAAGCACAGGAGAAATGTGAAAAACCATTTTGACTTTGGCCTATCTTAGAGTTAATAGAGTCATTACTATAGTATTGGGGTTTTTTTTTGGGGGGGGGGAAGGGGGGGGGTAAAAGTATGTAATATTCTACACATGAACTTTGACCGTTGTGGCACGCACCATTAAAATTCATACTCCAAAGTCTCCAAAAATCATTTGTAGTAGAAATTTAGGTTAAGCTCTACATTGTAACAGAATGGTCTACATAAAATCAACTGCTGGAATTAAACATGGCACAAAAAAGAAGAGAGAAAAAAAAGAAATTGACGGTCCCATTGTTGAGATTATATATACACACACAATGCCTTCAATCTACATGCAGTAAAACATGTTTTATCCCAACACGATTGCCTGTGCACATGTAAGCAATCCATTGCCAACACACAAATTACGAAAATAAAACAATCTGATAACTCTATCCAAAAACAATGGACATGGGTACAGTCTGATCTGTGCACACTGCGAGCGTTTGCAGGCATAACTCGCTTTAATTTCTCGGCTACGGCTTGTCGTAATACATACGTCTATGGGGGGTGGAGTAAGCCGCTTCCACAAACACATGTGTATTGGCAAGTCGTAGCCAAGTACTTCAGGACAAGCCCACTAGCGTTTTTCAATCAGTTTGAAAATGGCAATTAAAATGAAGCATAAGTTCTGAAAAAAACCTAGAATGCGTCCTGTTTTGCTCCCTCAAATGCCTCACTGCGCACAGATCAGATCTGCACAAGAGACAAACATGAAGACTACACAAATTGTTTCAACCATAGGCAGCAATTCTGTTCAGCAGCATCAGCAGACTACAGTCCCAAACTGGCCAAAAGTGGCACATTTCAACAATTCTTAACCTTTTCACCAAATGGAATAAAAAACAAAATTAAATATACGGGAGGGACCCGGACACTACATTTTCTAGTAAAAGATCCCCAGTCACCTAGAGTTTGTGCAGGGGTATTTTTTTTGTTTTGTAATAGTGTTTCAGTAAATAATATCGATATATTGCTGTTAATTTGGATAAAAAACAATATACAACTGGACACTCTTCATTTGCAATAATTTAGACAATTCCTCATCGACAATCGTGAGGAGAATTCAGGTACAATTATTTTTTTTGTAAGAAAGTGCATAGGTGCTTCTACTCTAGAAAAATTTGCAAGAATTGAACAGCGACGTCGAAAAAAAAAAACCCTCTATATAAAAACCACCCATTGGTTTAAAATATAACTTAGACTACGTTTGGCACTGGATCTAAAAATCTGTCTTAAAAAAAAAAAGGGGGAACATTTATCTTACATAATTTTTGATTCCCGCCCACATTATTAGTATTTGTCAAATATTGGCTTTTTTGAGACAATTTGTTTCATTTTTTTTTAAACTTAGATTCTGTGGCTGTAATGATTTTTAAAAATTCATTCAATTATGTACAAGTCTTAAGAGCCCGACCACAGCAAATGAATCAATTCAAATAAAAAAAGGAAAAGTTATTAGAATCTTATTATAATTACTATTACCACACCAAGACATTCAAACTCTTCTGCTCTGTTACTAAAACTAGGTTGCATATTAAAACTGTGAATCACTACTGTGCTGAGGTTTAACCTCCAGATTTGGGAACTGTCATTTTTATGATTAGCGCCCTCTATTGATGTGCAAGTCAGGACAACTGAACTCTTTGATTTCAAGTCTTTGGTAGAGACCTCATCAATGTGAACTGTTCAGGAATGGTTTTTATTGCCTCGGGAAGGATTCGAACCCGGGACTGGGTTCCAGGCCAGCTGGGTTTTGCGGGGGATTTAATCTCGGTTCACAAGTGATCGGACGGTGGTCGTAATCCACACTATGCAGACAGCTGTGATGAGTAGTGCAGCATTCAAACGAGTGGCTCCTGCATGTGGGCGGGGCTACCATGTGCCCCTTGGGGGGTAGCTGATGTACTTGATGCAACTATGTGTCTGGCGCCCTCTGGTGGTCAAATATGGTCAACCACAGGCTCAACGTGTGTCACTCGGATCACACTGATTCCTACCAGCCAAGGGCAAAGGGTGTCTGGCGCCCTCTATCTTGGAGAAAGATCACTGGAAGTTCAGTCTGGCGCCCTCAGGTGGTCTGTGATGTCTAGCCCAAGCTTCATTAATATCACTGTGTGCATTGTCTCCCCAAACGGCACTACTTAAAGTGCATTGTATATACGTATGGATCCAGTTGAAAAGGGCTCCCTCTATAGAGTTGATCTCTTTACATATAAAAAAGAATAGTTGCTCACATCTCTTGCGCATGTTGCGAGTCCTGCAAACTTGCAGAATAACACAAATTCAGCCTTCGCGTCAAAACCATGTCTGGAGAATGTCGATGAAAAAAATTGCGAGTCCCGTTTGTGCACGTGTCACTGGCTGCCAGATGGAAGGAACACAGTGGAAAACTTGGAACCGTTCCTGTTTTCAGTTTTTCCCGCATAGCTGCATTTCACGTTGACATCCACAATGATTGGCCAGTTAGTGTCACATGATCACATGTCACATGATCACATGCTCGTCCGTCAGTTCCACTGGTTAGAATTAACTGAAGATATCTCTACATTTCTACGCTTGACTGGTATCCACATAACTGGTTCCCTTTACAGAAAGTCTTATAGAGTCCTGGTCCCCTACATACACCCCCACCACCCTATTCCCCACCCCAATCCCCACAGTATCCGTTACTGCACGTCCCAAATCTCTTTCAATAGCGGTGGAATTCGCTGATCTTTCAGCTTGAGTTGGAACAGCAACTCTGAGTGGCTGTTGTTGAGGGAGCGGAGTTCGGTGAGTTTCATGAGGACTTTGGGAAGGATGAGGGTCTCTTTAGGCCTCCGTAGCTTCAGGTAAGCCGTCAGCATGTCCAAGTATTTCTCCTGGGCTTCTTCTACTTTTTCCCGGTCCTCTACGCTCGGCCGATCTGCACATTCAGAGCAAATGTAATAGAATCATAACTGTGGAAATCAAGACAATTGCAAAGATGAACTCTGAAGATATAGTGTTTATTGTTAAACATAGCGGTACCCGGGGATGATTAAGTTGGCCAGAATCGTTGAGTTATATTAAATGACTAGAGTGTTAACACCTCATACTCAACGCGGAGATGTCATGAAGCTGTTTTGCGTGCAGACATTTTGAATTCACGTGCGTGTTTGTAGAACATAATGAAATTAGATGGAGTGAATTTGGAAAGTGTACTAATATAGCTCTATGGCTAGAATTCATGTCGAGATTATCACAAATAAGAATCCAAATCACAAGTCAGTCACAAGTCCATTTCAAGTCAAATCACAAGTCAAATCAAAGGTCCATCACAAGTCAAATCACAAGTCAATCACAAGTCAAATCACAAGTCAAATCACAAGTCAATCACAAGTCAAATACAAGTCAATCACAAGTCAATCACAAGACCGTCACAAGTCCATCACAAGTCAATCACAAGTCCATCTCAAGTCAAATCACAAGTCAAAATTACTTGACTAAATTAAGACTGAATAATTTGAGGTCGACTTGTGATTGGATTTGTGATTACATTTTACGGCCATTTAAAAAAAACCCATTGCGTTACCTGAGGAGAGTATTGTGATGGCCATCAGCAGGACATACTCGGCGTAATCCAGGTCAAGTTCCGACATACTCTTGGCAAAGTTATACATTGGATCCACGAGGTCGCCTATCCCTCCTTCCTGGAGCTGCTTACGGGTGTAAGGTTGCTCGTTGCCAAACATGATAGCGTCTTGTTCCTTGTCGTATCGCAGCGCCGTCCTAAGCAGCATTACCTCAATGGCTGAACCCTGTGAACCAGTGACGGTGAACCAGTTAGAACACATTTCATTGTCTGTTAATACAGAACGTCGGCCAAAGCATGAGAGGCAAATTACATGGCGATGCTAAGCACAGATATTTTCTAAGAACAAAAAATATTTGATTTGCACCCCCCCCCTCCAATCAGGGACAAAGCCCCGCCCACCCCTCACCTTTAGTAAGACGATCTGGTCTTCTCTTCCCAACCCTAGGAAGTCAGGTATTCTCTTGCTGAACTCTACAATCAGCTGAATGGTTAGGATCGTCAGCTCTGTGATGTGAGCAAATCGAAGCTGGATTTCATCCGCCGATTCCTCCTCGGCGCTCGACTGCAAAAACAAAATTCAATTTTTTTGGGTCAGCACAGAACATAATCGTAATCAGGTCACATTTGTGGCTGTCAACATGGATTTTTTTTTAAAAACCAGAATAATACTAAAATACCCAAAACAATCGCACCCCCACATAAAAAAATTGCACTGACTTTTCCAAATTGGTCTGCAGAGACATAACAAGATATTTCCTGATAAAAAAAATTCCTAGGGGCCATCTTTTGGACGAGTTTTTTCTATTATGAAAAAAAGTTGTGCTACCCAATGGAACAATATTAATTAAGACAAGATTTCATCACATTAAAAAGTTGCGAACGAAATAAAAAAATTACGATGGCACATGAAATTGGCTCAGAGACAGATTGAACTGAAAGATTGTTTGGCTCCAACTCACCACTACTGAGAAAAAAATTAATTGGGAAAAAAAGAAAGCAGATATTGAATGCTATGTAGTAAAAACAGAGTTTTTGATATGCAAGGCCAAGCCTCATTTGCATGTATGCAAATGAAGTCCTGTATGCAAATGTGTGATCATTTGCATATATGCAAATGATGTCCATTCCTTGGCAGTTTTTGATAACCAGGCATATCCCCAACAGAATGGCACTGAAAGTAACACTTGACATTTCTGTCATTGCCACCTAAACTACGTCTCTGCAATGCAAATAATAATCGTGCATATTACAATATGAATATTCAACAGGTGCCTGCTTAAGATGCAAATGCAGGCCATTGGGGGCAGGCCTTGATAATGGGGGCGGGGTTACTCTTACATACCCCTCCCTCTTCAGCGTTTGTCTCTTTCTCTTTCTTCTTGGGTGGCACTGGCCTAAATTTACTTCCAAAGGAACATTCTGCAAGGCATGCCTGGGTCAACTGAGGAGGAAAAGAACATGGCAATTGGGGGTTGAATATAATTGGGCGTCTGTGTGGGGGAAGGGGGGGGGGGGGGGCATTGCACCGAGGCAACTCACAACCCCAATCCATTACTAGTACAGAGAATGACAACAAGAAAGGCCAATAGAAAACAATGGGGGAGGGGGTCGGCAGAACATTTAGGAAATCATCAAAAGAACATGTAGCTCACTGACCTGAGAAATTCTAAACTTGCAGATATTTGGAAGCAGAATAATTAAAAAAGTTATCACAAACTGGAACTATTCTTAAGGTACAGAGAACAAGAACCGCTGACACATTTGAGAGATGAAAAAATAGTTTGAAATGATCAGCAATACGGAAATAGTAGACAGGCGGAAAATCTGAACCCAACACCGAAGGATTTCCAAAGCCATAATTTTGAAAATGGCTGACATTTTATGTTAAGTTGGATGAAACTGGCAACAATACTTACATCGTCTTTGTTTTGTTCTTCCATCCATGGCTGCAAACAAAAAAAAGAGGGAAAAAAATAACAGTTGTCAGTTGTGAGGATTTGAATGGGGAAGGCAATGAACCATTTGACAGACATGCAACTGGAAAGTAAAAAAAAAATAAGAAATTAAAAGCTTTACAAGACTTTATAAGGTGCTTTTCAAATTTCAATGGAGTGTGAAGTGAAAAATGAGGAGATAGGCTGATCTGAGGAAAGTTGCATGCCTGATTATTATTTAGTTTTTGCTCTTCATCTTTGCAATTAATAAGTGTTTTCTGAGCTTGCAAAAAAAGTCTCAAGCTAGCTTCAATCCGTGACCTCCTGTTTGTGATTGCCGACGTCTCGACACAGCCAACTGAGCTTGCCGAAATTGGAGTGTTCAACTTTTGAGACTTTTACTACTCACCGTTAAACTCTTGAGATCTTCTGGCCCTGGGACTTCTAGATCCTTATGGGCCGTCACCAGCCTCTCAATAATATCCCGTTGTTCGTCGGTGAGCATCGGGCTTTCGTCTTCGCTCTGTTGCGGGCTCATGCCGGCTTGGGCCTGGGCCTTACGCATCATCTTGCGTTGCCGCTTGGACTTGCATTGTTCTTCTGTTAACAAACCTGTCAAAAGAAGATCAAATGATTAATCTTAGGGTAAATTCCCTTGTCATGCAATACAGGAAAGTTACACTTCTTGCCGCACTAATTTCATCCTTTTAATCATTTTGGAGAACTTGCATTTCTCCTAACATCAGTATCTTAAGGAACTATCATTTGGTTCAAGTTCTAGAACAGGAACTTACATTCTGGTAACATGCCGACCTCCCGACACTTTCGTAGCCTACATTCTTGGCATTTCCGCCGCATATACATGTCCATCTCGCAGTTGCCGCCTCGCGTGCATTTGTAGATGGCGTTCTTTGTTATACTCCTTCTAAAGAAACCTGCAAAATTAAACAAAAATTAAAAAACGGGATGGTTAAAAATTCTCCTGTTTTAAATTTTAGTACGTTAATGATTTCTCTCATTTTTTTTTTAAATTGCTATCTTTAAAAATTCAAGAAAGGAAATTGTTAAATAAAAACTGCTGTCAAACCATTTACTGTTTGGAATGGCCGAAACATATACAAATTGTAAAATCAAGATGGCCTGATGTTTCAACAGAAGAATGTTATTTCTCAAAATGCCAGTTTGAGAAAAAATGGCACATTTTTCATGTATCTGTGATCTTTGAAGTAATGTAAAAAGTTGCGGTATACATGTAATTTCCAACTATCTTCTTTAGAACACAAAGTTTCCCTGACCAAACTCTGAAATATTACAACATATCCACAGTAGTTCTTCACTCTTGCATAAACGTTTCAACATTTGACACCAACAGTTTTGACTACATTTAAAAAGCTCTTTTTTTACCACTGTGTTCATTGATATCAAAAAATCAACATCTTCCCTGGGGGGGGGGGGGGGGGGGGGAGTTACGTTTTGTATTTTAGTAATTTCAACTCTAATTTCTTTTGTCTTTTGTTTGGGAGGGAGGGATCAAATTTAAATACGTAGAATCCACTGATTACAAATGGTACTAAGAATAGCCCAGCACAAGACTTGTTATCGCCCTGTTTGTTAGCCCTATTGACATTCAATGTTCAGTGTTTACACACCCGCCCACAGACCAGCAGACTTTGCACACTAAACACACAGACATGCCATTATTTGCAGTATACATGAACAAATAGCGCAGAAGATTTTTCCAGACGATTTATCTGGTATCAAAGTATTAAGTTGAATGATTCGGTTACAATGGACAAACAAGTCTGTTAAAAAAACATAACTCCCGAAAATTTTTGCTGGAAAATGTTTTTGAATCCTTCAAAATCCTCAACTGTAGTATAGAGGAACATCATGACACACTCTTGGGACAGAAACTTTCAAAGAAAAGGAAGCCCGACGTATTTTCACATTTTTGGTGGATTCAAGATAGTAAAGAGCCAAGGGGTGGGGAGGGTGGGAAGAGGGTGTGGGGAAGAGGGTGTGGGGAAAGGGGTTGTTGGGAGGGGGTTGGGAAGGGGGTGGGAGGGCTAAGAGGGGGTGGTTGGGAAGATGTGTAGAAGGGTATGGGAGGGTAAGGAAGGGACAGGGAAGAGGGAAGGGAAGGGGTTGGGATGGGGGGGGGGGGTAGGGTGAGGGGTAAGGCCAGGGTTGAGGAAAGGAGTGGGGAAAGGGGTAGGGAAAGGGGTGGGGAAAGGGGTAGGGAAAGGGGTGGGGAAAAGGGCGGGAAAAAGGGCGGGGAAAAGGGCGGGGAAAAGGGGTGAAGACTGTGGTGGGGACATGGCTGAGGAAAGGACTGAGGAAAGGGCCGAGGACAGTGGCGAGGAAGGGTGTGAGGAAAAGGGTGGAGATAGGGGTGGAGACAGGGTGGGGCCAAGGGGGTAGGGAGGGGTTGGGTAGGGTTTGCATTCTGACACCTACCTTTACAGCCTTCACAACTGAGTGCATTGTAATGAAACCCTGATGCCCTATCCCCGCAGACCAAACACAACTCTAGATCCATCCTGGGTGCGGGTCCTTTCCGTTTCTTGCTCAAGCTAAAGCCTCCGTCTGGAATCTGTTCCTTGATGTGTGTCCCTGAGCTGGATGTACTACCGATAGAACTGGTGGGTGTGTATTGGCTGCTATACTGAGGGGACATATCATAACCGTCGTCCGGTGGTTCGCGCTTCACGATGACCGAATTCGACCCCGAATCTGCAAGAGAGACAAGAATGAAATAAAAATTGATAATACTTTAAAAGTGGGAGAAAAACAACTAGCAGATGGAAAGTATGCAAGCAGGGAAGCTGGATATCAAAAAGTCCATGTAAAATCTGGCCATTTTTTGAACGGCAGGAAACGGTAAGTTTCAGATTACACACCTCCTAGTTGCCCAACAAAACCAAAAGTGATACATCCACCAGTATGAAACGCTCAAAATTTGTCACCGATCTTACATGATCACCGACAACATTTCTAGATCTCAAGCCGACCGAGTGACACTCTGCACGTACATGAACACGGAACCACCCACTGAAAACAATGTGAAGACTTCAGACTTCGTTCCAAAATCCAAACCAAGACAATTGACGAAAACAATTTCAGTAAACAGTTACACAAAACAAACTTTCACAATGAACTTATCACATACTCAAACACTCATGAAGCTATAAATAGAGTGATGACAATAGAGAAGAACATTATTGAACCATGAGTTGTTGACCTTTAACAGCGATACTGGAACACAAACGTGACTGAGGGCACTGACTTAAATAACGAGAAACAAAAAAGATAATTTTCAACCTTATCTCCCCCAAATTTCTAATTCGGCCGAAAACAATAGGTCAACACAATGAATCAGCATTACAACGTATTGAACATTATTTCCTTAACAGCTGTTCACAATTGTCATCATAATCACAAGTGAACAAAGAGTACACTTAGTTAGGACACCCCCCCCCCCCCCCCCCCCCCCCCCCGGAGCTGAGGCCCACCTTGTCCCCCGTGGTCAATTTGTGTACAGCACAGGAAGAGATACACAAATTGAGGGCCGATATTATTGGTGGGAGTGAGGTTAGATGACATTGATTTCAAATCGACAATCTTTCTGTAGGTGAGCCATCAATTACCTGGCTCAATATTAATCGACTAAATTGATATTTCTATGTTTAAAAAAGTGAACACAGACCCCCTCCCCCACCAGCATATGGTACGCTCGTGAAAATGTTGATAATTGTGAACGGCCCCTTGCTGTCCCAATCATAAATATATTTCATAATTCATAATGGTTTCTTTTATCAGACACTACGCAAAGTCCACAAAACACAGTTGGTTAAATTTCTACAGAATCGTTACAAAAGCTGTTGTTTATTTACCCGGTATTCAAATCTTGTTGTTCAACAAGTACCGTAAGTTCCACGTACGTAGACATCCATTACGTGTCTCCCATTTACATAAATCAATGAACATAAACCGTCCAATTGGCTTGAAACTGTGAGATACATAGTTCTAATGACCCAGCAAAATTCCAAATATTCTATCATCCGATTGGGTTTTCCACCTATAAACATACCATCTGTGAAATTCCGTGGGCTCTAACTTCAGCCCAAGTAGGCTACTCACATTGACAGGGACTGCCGCACTAGCCCAATTGGGCTCCTAAATGCTTATCCCACTGATAAAGTATCACATCTGGAGTATTTACTATTCAGGGGTTGTGATAGCCAATATTTGCACTAGAAAACTGTTTGTGTTTGATACACCCAGGCTTATGTACACAGGTAAAGGACAGGTGACCTTTACTCAAATAAACGGCGCCCTCTATCAGCGGCAGTCATACTGGTAACTGCAAAACAGTGTCTGGAAAAGGCTGGTTTGCAAAACCCTAACTTATATGTAAAGATAGAAAAGAGACACATCTACGCCATCAGAATTTAACCAATTAAATGTTCTAGCAGGGCAATCTAATTGGAACTGGGCCATAGAAAGTGCATATGCCCCACCACTTTGGGGGATATGTGTTGTGTCTTGGAATAAAATATATATTGACTGCCCTATGTCATTCATGTACGATGGCACTCCAACATTCTTACAAGGTACAGCATTGATGCGAGTTAGCTTGAATGGGCAAATGCTTCCCGGCCCGAGAATTATTGACGAGAGACATAATAGGAAGATCCATCAGCAGGCCTCGCTTGCTGCCGAAGCAATAACCAAAACTCCTGAAGAATGTTGGAGGAAAATGTCTATATCCCACTTCCCAAAGGAAAAAAAACCCCAATGTCTTGATTAAAATGATACAATGGTCAACTCACTGAGTGAGGAATGACAAGCATGACAGTCCTTAAAGGCACGTTGCAAAACGGGTAATATTTGCACTTCTTTTGTCAATATATGAATTGAATGCGCTATGCCCGATTTAATCAAAATCCACTAAAAAAGTTTCCAGGATTTTAAATGTATTCTGAAATGTACAATTCAGCTGCAATGACTTCACAATGGCACAATGAAACTTGATGTTCCATTTTTGTGTACATCCGAAGAATGTGGCTAGGGGAGACTGAATGGACGGAGCAGATTTAGAGCAAAACTGCTTATGGGGTTGCAGTTAATTTTTTTGTTAGAAATTTCCTTCAAATCCTAACATCAGATTCCTGACAAATGAATATCTTTTAAAAAAAAAGAATACCTTTCCAAAAAATTGTTTAATACCTTTCAAAAAATAATTGTTGTTTGAAAATATTTTCCCTTTCATATGTTCCTCAATCAATTAGGCCAGTCTTTTCAGGGATAAAATCTTGCCGGCAAAATTTCCAGCACGATAATTATTGGGAACAAAACACTAAATCAATTTTTTTTTTTATTTAGTCTAATCTTGCTCTGACTGAAATAGCAATAATGAAGAGAATTTTATTTTAGCAACAAAAGACAGAAAGAAAATTCACGTCTTTTCAGGAATAAAATCTTGCCAGCAAAATTTCCAGCACGATAATTATTGGGAACAAAACACTAAATCATTTTTTTTTTCTATTTAGTCTAATCTTGCTCTGACTGAAATAGCAATAATGAAGAGAATCTATTTTAACAACAAAAGACAGAAAGAAAATTCACGTCTTTTCAGGAATAAAATCTTGCCAGCAAAATTTCCAGCACGATAATTATTGGGAACAAAACACTAAATCAATTTTTTTTTTTATTTAGTCTAATCTTGCTCTGACTGAAATAGCAATAATGAAGAGAATCTATTTTAACAACAAAAGACAGAAAGAAAATTCACGTCTTTTCAGGAATAAAATCTTGCCAGCAAAATTTCCAGCACGATAATTATTGGGAACAAAACACTAAATCAATTTTTTTTTTTTATTTAGTCTAATCTTGCTCTGACTGAAATAGCAATAATGAAGAGAATTTTATTTAACAACAAAAGAGAGAAAGAAAATTCATGTCTTTTAATACCTCTCCGTGACCCCATTAAATGAGCCGACGCTTTGCCACAAGCGCCTCTCCGCTCCACAGCGGGTGGAAAAAACTCATTTTCCAGACAATCATTAGCCAAACACGGAACGACAGATGGGATCTACAAATTGAATCTTTTAACACAAAAATGACAAACTAAAATGACATGAAATTTTGCCCTTAGGCTTCAAAAAAAAAATTACACAATGACCGTAGAAAATCATCAACGCAGACGGGAAAATGTTGAGCCGACCCCTTAGCTAAGAGGTAATTAGTGCAAACATTGGCGGCGGTGAAAAAAAATAGTCACACTAAAGCCAGGCAATCAGATGGACATTTCAGCCCACCTGAATGCCAGCCAGTCCCTTGTCTGCGGTTATGTAACCAGACTTTTTTCTTCTGAAGTGAACAATCCAAAAGCTGGGTTAATAGTTTGCCGCATATAACGGGGACGATAAGTTGTTTAGGTTGAAGAAGGGCCGTCCGCTCTGGGGTAGTAGATGGGGAATTTGTAAACCCAAACCAGCTATTTTAATATCACAAGTAGCCTGGAAAATGCAGACTAGCCGACAGCCACCAAAATGTGAATCTGCTGAACTGAAATACTTGAATAGAATCCAAAAATCAGCTCCACTTATGAAGAAAAACTAAAAGATTTTGCATGAGTTCTTACACTAATGGTTTCTACTGTTAATACTGTAAAAGAGTGTTCCCCTTTCTTTCTGCTGGTTTGAAATTGGTCTCGGTTAATAATAATATTCTCCCCAAAACTCCCACAGCTCTAGATGGTGATAAGTGGCCGCAATTTCTCCTTTTGTTCAGCAGAATCTACCGACAGAATCTCTCGTTTTCCTGAAATGTCAAACGTTTAACACAGGGTGAATCACAGCTAATTGCCAAGTGCTGTCCTTGCATTTTAGCCCCCGAAAAGCGGGGAAATAAGGAAGGTTGTTCTTATTTGAGAGGTTAAGTAGTCTACACAGAGCTGGGGGCAGCTTGAGACCTCAGGAATGGAGGACTTTCAAGAGATTCTGGCCAAGGACGTTTGAATGATTATTGGGTTCTTTTTGTCCAACTTTACCACCATGTTTGTCTAAAAAGCTCTCTGTCTCATATGGCTAAAAAAAATTTAAAAAAGATTTTATGAACACAATGCGGTATCTTTTTTGTAAATTACCCTATGTATTTCATTTATTATTTTTCTGGCAGAGTGCCAACATATTCAATAACTCTTGTGCAATTTCAATAGTTGATTGTCGGTCAGATGTGAATTGGTAGATTATCTTCTTATTAATTTTCCATGTAATAAGCTATCATTTTTGGTTTTATCTCCCTAAACTGCATGTGATGTGTATTATTTGATTCTCTGTTTCCATTTTTCTTTCCAGCATTGTTAACTAAAATAGGTACTTTGCAGCATCTACACATCTCACTACCTTAGTACTTTGTGTACACTCTTTTAAAGTAAAATGCTGAATTTCCAATACAGAGATAGTTTAAAAGAATGTGTCCCAAATTTGTTTGCATTGTGTAATCAATTTTTACATATGTATGCTGTTGGAGTCTCAACCTAGACAATTAATACACGAAGGGATCTACAAAAACTGGAGTGCCATCCCTAAAATTGAAAATATAGATCTGACCACTTTACTGCCCCGCCGCATTCATTATGAATGAGCTTAAAGTGAGCGTCACAAAAGGAGGGACGGCCTAAAGACCAATTAGACCAGCCCCAGTCTGTATTGATTTTGTCTGACTGG